CCAGAAACTACCTACATAGTTTTTTTATATAAATGGATCTTAAGGGTAAGCTGGCTGAAGAGGATATGACAAAAAGAACATATTTACTGGTAAAAACAAACGCTAAAAACTAAAATTAGCCTATATGACGTTAAAAAAAAAAAGTAATTATATTTTTATTCCAGTAACCCTGTTTTCTTATGTTTACACTCGTTAAAGATTTCTGATCTTTGGTTAAGTAAGGGTATGAGATTTACTAAAAGTATCTAGGGTTAGCTTCTCCTCCATGCATAGGAGGCAATACCTATATACTGATATACTGAACGATGAATGTTGTAAGGGCGTATAAGGAAAGAGCAAGTGTTGCATTATGGGATGGAGAATCTTTTAACATCAGCTTGAAGAGGTTAAAATTATAATGAACAGAGAAGCGTCCACACCTGGAAACCATTCCACATTGCAACAATTAAGCAGAAGCTGCTGTGTCACTTACCCCCTGATCAATGAAATATGTTAAGGAGTAAATTCTACTCAGTTTTAATTATTATAGAGATAACTCTCTTCAGTACTCCACTTAGTTTTATCCATCCAACAGTCTCAGCTGTTGCTTGAATTTTAAGTTCGCTCAGCCTTTATGCTCAGTTTTACGAGATTGTTTCGAGTGCTCTACACAAGATTGGCACAAACGTCACATACATGTTCCAAAATTTATTTTGCTATTTTGCAAATTTAAGATTTAAAGGTTTCTGTCAAATTTAAGTTTTCTGGTTTGGTTTGGTTTGGTTTGGTTTGGTTTGGCTTGTTTTACGGCATATCAACCTAAATGGGTTATTTAATATCAACAAAAATTTTTTTGCTGGTAATATATATATATTTTTTTTTTTTCAAAAGTTATTTCTGGTAATATTTTTTTCCAAAAATGGTAATATTTTTTTAAAATGTATTGCTGGTGATATGTTTTTCCAAAAACGTATTGCTGGTAATAATATTTTCTTCAATATATTATTGCTGGCAATAATTTTTTACAAAAACGTATTGATAGTATTAAAACCTATTTTTACACATTTCGACCCCGTTTTGGGGTTTAGCTATTTGCCCATAGCTGACACACTTCAGGCCAGGATGGACCTGGGAACACCAGCAATTACGAGGTGGTTCCACGCTCCTCAAAGCCTCCTGGTCAGAGGCTTTGCTGTTGGATGTAGTTCATCGTCTTACCAAGGACACCTCATTTGGCGGGGTCTTACATCTCTGCAGAAGTGCAGTCAGCGTATTATGAATCCCCAACCGACAGGGTGTTAAGGTTTCTGTCAAATTTATTTTCCTTTAGCTAGGACAGTAAAATTACTACCCGACACGTATTTCTCTTTGATCCAAACTTTTTGGATTGGGTGGTTTGTTTGAATCTCAAAATCCCAGTTGACTCATTATTATTATTTGATTTAGAGTTTAAATTGTATGTTGTAAAGAGTAGCAGAGTAAAATGGTAAAAGTAACATTGAAATATGGAGTAATGTTAGTAAGGATGGTGTAATGTAATAGACATACTGAATAAATATTTATCAGTTTGTTTATTTTGTTTATTTCTTATACTGTTTCCATTTCTCATTTTCTATCGTTTTTACATTAATGTTTACGAAATGAGAAGACTGTGATAGAAATGAACAGAGTGAGATGGAAATGAACAGACGATTGAAATGAACAGACTGTGATAGATAGATAGATAGATAGATAGATAGATAGATAGATAGATAGATAGATAGATAGATAATGAACAGGGATAGATATGTACTGATAGATAGATAGATAGATAGATAGATAGATAGATAGATAGATAGATAGATAGATAGATAATGAACAGACAGAGATAGATAGATATGATCGGATAGATTGATTGATTGATAGATAGATAATGGACAGACAGATATATAGATATGAACAGATAGATAGATAGATAGATAGATAGATAGATAGATAGATAGATTTATTTATCTATATACATTTCATGAACGCCTGTCGATAAATGCAGATATATGCCTTCCTGTACACGTTTGAGTCCGCCTGTAACGTTTTCTGCATAAGTCCTCACCTTTCCTCAGAAGTGATGTCGTTGCTGGTTACGATGATATTACTGGCAATAGTAAAATAAAGCTGCAGGGTCGACTATACAGATAGCAAGTTGATTCCTCTACAGGCCTGAAATCTCTAATTACTTATGACATGTACACATTGTAAGGGCCTTGCAGGCTTAGCAAAGCCGGAAAGACTCGTACATTGAACAGTGGTATGCCAGTAGATCGGCGCACCACCTGGTGGGAAGATAATATGTAAGGTTAGATGGCCGCCGGGAAGAAGATCGGAGATCATCTGAATGCGAGGTTGGATGGGATTGAGAAGTTAGAAATTGAAATGAAACTGAGATGAAGGTAAGGTAGAAAATGCAAGATGTTCAAATTTGTAAGAAAATGTGTGGAGGGAGTGTACTTATAAAACTTTTGATGTGTCGGACGTTTATAAAACTGCTTATGGTGTGGGCATCTGGCGAGAAAGAGCGATGATAGAGAGAATGGTGTTTTAACAAGTGTTGCTCTCTGTTACATATGTTATGCATCCCAACACACACACACACACACACACACACACACACACACACACACACACACACAAACGAATATGCATTATCATCTGAATCCCGTATAGACAAAATAGTGTCATTATACAAAATATAGATTATAAATTTCACACACGAACGGTTTTTGACGAGACAAATGCATGTGAAGTTTTCGTATTCTGTAGCCCGGTTAAGGTTTTTTGTCAATTTTTTTTTTTTTTTTTCCTTAGCTGGGACAGTAAAATTCACTAACCGACTCGTATTTCTCTTTGATCCAATCTTTTTGCTATGAATTGGGTGGTTCGTTTAAATCTCAAAGTCCCAGTTGACTCATTGTTATTGATTTAGCGATGAAAATGTATGTTTTTATTACTGGTAATATTTATTTTTTTCAACAAGTATTTCTGGAAATATATTTTTCCAAAATTGGAAACATTTTTTTTTTCAAAAATATATTGCTGGTAATATTTTTTTCCGAAAACGTATTGCTAGTAAAAATTTATGAAAAGATGCTTCACGTGCATTTGAAAAACAAAATTGACAAACCATATTAACCCAAGCCTTGTAGATTAAATTAGGTAGAAGGTAATAAGACGCGTGAATGGGTGGTGCTGTAGGTGTGTAAGTGGATGCATGCCAAAAATGCAATATTGTTGCCATATCTGGGCTGGAGCTGACCAATCAGCACAGTTTTGACTGAGTCCAAAAGCTTTGATGCAGCCTTGTGGGTGATGAATTATTTTCAAACCTACAGCTTCTTTCCCACAGGCGAAACCTTGATAGCCTCTTGCTACTCTATCTCTATTTTCAGATTTTCAAATGATATCTATTCCTTACTTCCATCAGTTCAGACCTTCAGTACGAGAAACTTCCATGTCACGTACACAGTCCCGCCCCATCTACATTCCTTTCAGAGTTCACTGGTAAAAAGTATCTTCCACTCAGAGAACCGCGGAAGGTACTTTCGAAAAGTTGCTTCCTCGATAACTACAATCTTAGCCTGTTCATGTCTTGAGTCAACCGTTATCTATTCTACATAAGAACATAATCTGTTTTTACGTCCATAGAACGACTTGCAGTAACCCTCTATCTCGTGGAGCTGGTATTTATTAAATATTCAGTATTAAAAATAGTGTAAGAGTTGATCTCAGGTGTATATTTTCTCAATGAGAGTACTGAAGAGCGTCACTATCTATTGTGCAAATTGAAACTGTTAAAAATAAACATATTTTAAATAATCAATATTTGAATAAAAAAAAATCATAAGTCCAGTAAAGAATATTAAGGCATCATGTTTGTTTCCGTCTGCCATTCTTTTTCTTTACAAGAGTCAGATCAAGATAAAAATCGAGTATTGTTGTTGTAATTGGAAACCCTACCAGGATTCAGCATTAGCGGCCACAATCTTAACAATATAAGATACACAGATGACACAGTACTAATAGGAAACAGGGAAAAGAAATTACAAAACCCCCTACAGAAAGGAGCGAAAGAGAGTGAGAAGAAGGGACTTAGCAAAAACAAACAAGAAGACAAAATGCTTGGTCATCAGTAAAAGGATAACCCCAAATTGCGATTTGCAGGTCGGAGATACTAAAATCAAACAGGTACGGCAGTTTAAATATCTGGGAAGTATTTTGACGGAGGACAGTAAGTGCGACACTGAGATCCGTACACGTATTGGGATGGCCATGGACACATTCCAAAAGCTGGGCAGTGTATTATAAGACAGGAGAATTTCTTTGGTAACAAAGAAAAGAGTGCTGAGCTGTCATGTAACATGTCCTCCTTTACGTCAGCGAATGTTGGACGTTATCCCCAAAGATGAAGAAGAGACTCGAAGGGACGGGGATATAGTTCTATAGAAGGATGATGAGGACATCATGAACTCAGCGTGTGAACCATGATGTGGTCTTAAGGAGGATGCAAACAAGGAGGAAGCTTATATTTGATATCTGGAAAAGGCAGCTGAAGTTTCGGGGACACGTAATGAAAATTGAGGGCCTGGAGAATCTGATACACACAGTTCAAATAGAGGGGAAGAGAGAGAAGGAAAAGCAACGCATAGCGGGCTTGAGAAAGTGGGCTACAGAACGTGGTCTGTGGGAGATGGCAGAGGGACGAAACTTATTGAGAGCTACAACGGATATGGGGAAGTGGAGAGCCGTGATCGCCTATGTCTTGAAAGTACACGACACATGAAAAGAAAAAAAAAATCAATAAAGAAAATTAACTCATTCTCAGGGTCCGGACTTCCGTCCCTTTTAAATCTGGAAAACCACCGCTTGGTTCAGAATGCTCTCTTGTACAGAGCACGCTTGTTAAAACGGGGACGCAAGTTCGAACACTGGCGAAGACTGCATTTTGTTTATGACCCTCTAATGCCCAGACCAGCCAGCAGACGTAATCC